AAAGCCTCAGAATAAAACTTACTTGTGATTTCATTGAACAAAAGCTGAGAACTGAGCTGATCTCTAAAAGTGGTAATATGTGTGACGTGTATGTATCATTACAAACATAAAATATAATGTTTTAATGCTATGGTGACATATAAACTGTTGTGAAGAGTCTGTATTGAAGGTGTTGCATGGTTATGTCTGTGGTGCCATGTATATCAAAGTTTAAATGTATATGTTCAGTCATAAATAAAAATAAATAATTATACACATACTGTAATCCATGGGTTATGTCTGTGATGCCATGTGTATCAAAGTTTAATTGTATACGTTCAGTCATAAATAAAAATAAATAATTATATACATACTGTAATCCATGGGTTATGTCTGTGATGCCAGATATTTCAAAGTGTAAATTCGTACGTTTAGTCATAAATAAAAATAAATAATTATACACATACTGTAATCCATGGGTTATGTCTGTGGTGCCATGTGTATCAAAGTTTAATTGTATATGTTCAGTCATAAATAAAAATAAATAATTATACACATACTGTAATCCACTGATAAAATGAAAATTCAATTTATCATTCCATATTTGTTCTGTAGTATAATACATTAGTCTTGTTCAGTCTTCTTATTGCAAAATGGCTAACGTCACATTTTATAAAACTGTGACATGGCACTGTTTTTATACTGTAGCTTTAATAAGCAATTGTGTTCAAAGTAAGATCCAGATTATAAGTATTGCAAATAGACAAAGAGGGGAAAGAAGACTATTTGGCCAGACAAGTTCTACATTGCTTCAGGTATTCACTGACTAGCTTGATATTTTCAAAGAATTCAAAAGGATTATATATATAACGTAGTCATAGCACAAAGACTCAATATGTTTCTTTCCATGTGATACATCTACAGTGTGTTTTAAAACTCAGAAACAAGCTGTATTTATCTTGCTGCTTTAGTATATACTGCTCATATCTTTCATTGACTTCTCACAAAGTCTAATTAGAAAAAACATAGTACGACACAAAGATTATCATAGGAGATGATTGAAAAATAATAGCTTACAATGAATAACAATAACTACATTATTATCTCTAAATGAAAATAAAATCTGATAAGTGTTGATATTATTCTATGTTTCAAACACTAGCATCTTAATCATAAGAGCCAAGTGTCAATTTGTCTTGCTCGATTTCTCCAAATTTCATGAGTTACATGAATCCAATTCCACTTTTTCTCCTATAACACATATTCTTTTGATTGCCCATTCCAATTTTAGTTGAATTCAATCACTAAAATAGGTATAAATATCTCTTAAATTTCGGCACTTTTTCTACTAATATGAAAGCCTGTCAAGGAGGGGGTTTTTATACCAAGGATTTATTTAGCATAGAGTGAAATTAATTTCCATTTTTGTTATGAAAAGAAGTTTTTGAAGGATGATCAAGTATTTATAAGAAACGTGGTTTTACGAGAACTACTGCAATAAAGCAATTAAAGTGATTAGGAAATAACAATCATCAATAAATGCTGGGACAAAGATCAATGTTGGGAAGAGACACTCTTTAGGTAAGAGATATTGCTAACAATAGGCTTTGGCTTCCCGAAGCTAGAAGGCCTTTTATTTTTCTTATGTCTGCTTATGGGCAGCAAAGTTGCAAATGTATATTGGAGGATTCAAATTTGGTAGGCTTTGGTTTCCCATCATTTTTGAATTTTTTTTGAAACTCAAAACCACATCTCTGCTACCATTCCTTGCTGTCATCCTTAAGTCCTAAAGAATGACGATTGTGGTCATAGCATCCAAATGTGTTGGGGATATTCCATCTATCAGGCAAAATCCAAACGCCGCTGAAACACTTGTCCACAACTAAGGAGAATCAGTAAAGGATTAGGAGTTGTGCTTGAACCCACAACATCTCAGCACCAACTGCCTTTCACTGTCTGCAGCCAGTTGTGGGAAGACAATAACACTTAATATTTAGAAATAACGTTAATGTAGAATTAAACCAACCCAATAAATATTTTACAAGGCATGGTTTGGGGTTCAATTTTATTATCTTGTTTCTGGTTTATATTAAGTTTATTATTGTTTTATAGTTACAATTTTAATCGCCTATGAATAATTAATGTATTGTATAGCATTGTTAAAACTTTGCTTCATATTAATAGTAGGAAAAATGTTTTGACCAAATATATCTGAATAATTTGTTTGTAATTAAGCACAAAGCCACGCAAAGGGCTTTCTGTGCTCTGCCCACCACAGGTATCGAAACCTGGATTCTATCTGAATAAGAAAAAATATTAATGGTTTATTGAACAAAACCAACCTATGTACCTTTACACACTGCTTCATTTATTAATGCCATGATGCACTCAAGTTTTACTTTGAAAGTAAATAAATGCTATACACATGTAAACATATTATTGAGTTCATGATCATCAGCTGTACCAGAAATAATATCTTTATAAGAACCAGCAGTGATATGGGATAAACTATTTTTATGATGTAGAGAAATTATGAAAAATGTACAAGTAAAACAGGCACACTGAAGCTGTAGGCTAATTTTTTCAGTCACCTACAGTAGTTTGTATTCTAGCTATTTCAGCCAACCACAGTAGTTTGAATACTCTACTGACCAATTGTATTACAAAAGCTTTTAGAAACTGAATTCAAAACACCAGATGTGAAGATGTTACTAGAGCAGACATTAACCCTTTCGAGACGGGTCACAGGTGAAAGGCCATGTCATCTTGTCTGTTGACTCACATTCAAAATTTTATTGACCTACTATTTCATGAATTTATGGCAATAAGTTTGTTATCAAACTGTAGATTATAATTCATATTTTAGAACTATACATTACTCAATTTGTTAATTTAAATGTAAATATAAAAAAAAAAACCACGATAAACATCAATTTTTGTATGCCACATGGATTGTTGAATGGAGCACTGGTTCAAGTTATATGTTTGTGAAGTCAAAATACTAAGTCTATAGTTTCAT